GTGTGTGTGTGTGTGTGTGTGTGTATGTGTGTGTGTGTGTGTGTGTGTGTTTGTATATCATATATAATATATATTATATGTATTATATATAATATATATTTTATATATATTTTATACATATGGTATATATTATATATATTATATATACTATATTATACACATGATATATATATATATATATATATATATATATATATATATATATATATATATATATATATATATATATATATATACATATATATATATATATATATATATATATATATATATATATATATATATATATGTATGTATGTATGTATGTATCTATATACAATGTGTGTGTCTTTGTCTGTTTCTGTATATGTGCAAACATAACTTCATGTTTTTTAAGGACCTGAACGAGCCCTCTCACAGGCCTGTATTCCTTCAGTGGAATGGGGCACGGCAAGGAGGCGAGCTTCGCAGGAAGAGGCGGGCCGCGCGTCGCCTGCTTCAAAGGCCCAGGCGCTATGCCGTCCATCCCTGACATCAACTATGCCTCCTTCATGCTACAGCGCATGCAGGCTCATGGGGACGCCGTCGCAATGGTTGGTACAAGCAGATTAATCATACATTGATTACGTCTTGCTCTAAAAATATATATATATTTGTATTCATACTTGCATCTTGTGCGCACACACACACACATATATCTGTATATATATGTATCTATATGGATATATACACATGTATATATGTATATGTATATGTATATATATATATATATATATATATATATATATATATATATATATATATATATATGTATGTATGTATATATACATATACATATATATATATATATATATATATATATATATATATATATATATATATATATATATGTATATATGTATATACATATACATATATATATGTATATACATATACATATATATATGTATATACATATACATATATATATGTATATACATATACATATATATACACACACATATCTGTGTTTGTTTGTGTGTGTTTTATGTATGTAGGAGTATGGACAATTTCCAGGTAGACGCGGAGGCGAAAGGTCGCCGTACTTACGCAGAGTTGTGTGAACTGATTCCCCGAGCATCCGGAGGTCTGAAGGCCGCCGGCGTGAGGCCCGGCGACGTAGTCCTCCTCGTCACAGGGAACCACGTCGACTATCCCCTGGCGATGCTGGCCGTCATGCACAGGGGAGCCACCTGTGCCCCCATCAGCCCTGCCCTTAAGCCAGGTGAATTTGGGAACACTGATGATTCATTCATTATTGATAGCACAATCGGTTTCTCTTTCACTAGTTTGCGAGAAAAGTTTCATTCTTTAATGGATAAAATGCTGTATATATCATCATTATTATTATTACCTAGCTTAATTTCTCAGTGTGTGGTGAATTTTAGGCTGGCAGGTCACCGAGATTCGTCTGCTATACGAAAAAGTCAAGTTTTGTTACCGCATTGCGGGAATTCATCGACCTTTGTTCTGACATACAAAATTTTGAAAAAAAAAAGTTAATATCACATAAGAAGATCAATAGAAAACCATAAAAGTGCTTGCTATGCTGATATGACTTTAAATTACAAGAAAACATGGAAGCTTCGAATAAAATCGAAAATGTACCTGACAATTTATATCGTTTATACACACCACTCTTCGCTTGACAAGACTGTTGAAACTTTCAAGTGTATTTCTCAGATTTAGACACAAAAATATCATTACATCCATTTTTCTTCGTATGGCAAGTGGAAGCTGCTTGAAGTTTTGCATCTTATCGTATCCGACAAGTCCAAATCTCAGACATCTGGATTATTCCAAGGGTCAGTGGCATTTACTTGTCCTAAAGCCTATGATATATCAACAGATTAAGATGCAAAGCCTTTCCTTTGATATCTTTAAGCCTCTCTCTCTCTCTCTCTCTCTCTCTCTCTCTCTCTCTCTCTCTCTCTCTCTCTCTCTCTCTCTCTCTCTCTCTCTCTCTCTCTTCTAAGAGCATTTTTAAGCTACGATGAGCTTAAATGTAAAGTGTATAAGTGTATTAATTGTATTTGAAGTACTGATAAAAAGGTACAGGTACATTTTTCGCACCCTAATATAAGGATTTTGTAACAAGAAACATCCGATGCAATTCGTAATTAATCTCTATATAAATTTCTGAGACGTACACGAAATGTATTTGAAAAATATCAAACTCTGATTGGCTGTGCGTAAAGGGCAACATTTTTGAGAATATATCAATGTTAGCGGTTTCGGAGATGCTACAAAAAAGCGTATTGCTAAAGGCAGCTAATGTTCCTTCCCTAATTATTACTAGTTCGAATCCTTAGTGACAAATCGTTGATGGCTTATTTAATGTTTTATTCTTTTTATGTCCGTTAGGCAAAGGGTGGCTCACTTATATTTACACATCCACTTTCGTTATATTTTAAGATAAATACATTGGCTTGGATTTCTTGCCACCCTTTTTGTATTGAAAAATACGAAAAGCTTGACTGACCAGGGAAAGTTTACCATACATATAAACAACTTTTGTTTTAACCTTAACCGGACAGAAGAAGCTTAGGTGGTTAGGAATCCGCGTTTAATGTGAGTCTTCAAAGCTTAAATTTTTCGTCTATAGCTGAAACCTAACTTATAGCTTCAGGAGACATGTTACCAGATTTTTTTCCTTTACTATTTATTCTAAAGAAAACAGTTGTAATACAATAACCATATATTTTCTATGCATCATTTTGATCAGGACGCGGTATTCGATAGATCAACTGATTCTACAACACTTTGTGTGTCACTTCTGTTACAATTTGCAAGTGAGGAAGATATCTAATATTACAATTGCCAAGCAATCATATGCCTAAGATAAATGACAAGTTGGATATACGAAGCTGAGGCTAACCTGGGATAAGCTTTTGTGAGGAGCCCGGCCCGTGCCGACTAATGCTGACTCAAATAGTATATGCCAGCTTGTGCTGTCCCAACTAAGCATCGTGGTAACTTCCAGGCAACAGTTGAAACATTTTGTTCATGACCCCTTGGATGAGAGGCTGACACGTTACCACTGTAATATCATATGCATATCGCAACCTAACCAGTCGATAAAACCATCCATTTTGTTTTGCTTGAGGTACGCGGACCATTTTTTTTTCGAAAATTCTATCCGAATGAATTGATGCAGGTGTCACATGCCGCTAGTGAAAGGTCTGTGTTTAATAGAGCTATTGGTAATTCATAGTCAAATAAGAACCAATCCAAGCTCCTTGGCGCCTAAATATATATGGTCGATGCTTGTTTACTTTTGTCAGCACACTTCTGTATTAGATAATTCGAGACAAAATGTCAGAATTTGCTTATTTGTCGATTCAGCGTACGGTTTACCTCGCATGCAGTGACAGGTTTCATCACTCAAGGTTGAAGCACAAAATGACGCCACTGAGTAACTTATAAACAGAAATTGGGTAGTCTAAATTTAGGGGTCTAGATGTGCCTTCTTGGGGGCCTTGGAGCAATATGAAAATTATGACAGAATTAAAATGGATTTTGTCACACCTACAGTACATACAGATAATTAATTACCTCTCACATATCAGTAAATTAGAATCTTCCCATGCAGTGTTCTTGTCCCATAGGTGTTGACACCTTTACACTATTCATAAATAGTAAAAATTGAATCTGAAAAGGTGACATACCTGAACAGGATCATGAAGATAATCATATATTGATCGGGGGGCCACAGAATAGAAAAGGATGGGAACCACTTGTCCAAAGTATTTTTAGACTTAAGTTGATAATGGTAACTGTAGTCATACTTTACTAATTTGCTATGATTTTTACTTATATTTCTACCCATTTCTACGGTTACATACACACATCATTTATTTGTCGGGGACCACAGAATAGAAAAGACTGGGTCTTTAAGTATCTTTAGACTTAAGTTGATAATGATAACTGCAGTCATACTTTACTAATTTGCTTTGACTTTCAATACACTATATTGCTCGGCCACGATTAATGACTTTCAGCTGAGGTCAGGTCAAGACAGAAAATGGAGAGAGATGAATTTAATGAGTGAATATTCGTGAAAGAATAAATTCACGAACGCGCTAAATGCGATACAATTGAAACAATATAATTTAATCACGAAAAAAATTAATTACACACTTAATAAATGAATGATTTCATAATGTTTAACGCCATACCGCGATTGACAGTAATGAGAAGTGAGGTCAGAGAATGAGAAATGAGAGTATGCCATTGCTATACTTAGCACTTTAACCCAACAAAAAAACTAACATGAGCTGGCTGTGCACGGTCTAACACATTTAGGAAAAAATAGAAAAGAAATGAAAGAGAAAGGGCCAAAATGTGTACTCACGGGTTTCTTTAAGAAATGTCATCTTGCGTTCGTTGAAGCCGAGCGGTTTTCTTCGGAGAAGCTTGTTCGGTTGTGTGCCAAAAGGACACAACTACCACCGCTATCACCACTTGTAAGAGTTATATAAGGACCTCTAAACATTGGTGACAGGGAGTAGTAAATGGTTTGTGGCTTAAATCTCTTTTATTGATAAGAGTTAGCACACGTAGTTGTTAACACAAGGATGACGAGTCTTGGGTTATGGGCTGGTCACCTGGGGTCACCGCCGAGCCCAGCCCAGCGGTGTGACCTCGACCGACCCACGGCACGCTCTCACTGCTGACCGGTCAAGCGTAGTCCCTTATATCCGATGAGGGCTTGGAGGGGGGCAAGGAGGACCGCCCATCCGTTGGGGCACGCCGCTTGGGTTGCCTAGTGTGGGCGCCACGCGGGCATATAATACCGATATAATACACTATACACACACACAGAAAATGAGGGTTAGAAATTTGTAAGAGCTTGAGTTAGGTTGTAGGTCTACAGGATTTACGTTTTTTCTTTTTCCATTATTTGGAAATATCATTCAAATCAAATCCACGGACAGCTGACTTAACTTGCATCCAAACAATGCGCAGTGCATTTTATAGCTATATGTTTTAGGCTTTATTCAGCCATGCTATTATAAAATGGAGACAGGGGCTTTCTGAGTGTGACCAAATCGAACTGAGACTGTACTGAACTGTTCGTGTGGTTACCAATCGGTAGGCAACCGCTAACGTTATCAGGCGCAAACTTGATCATTCCTGGGAACCAAAGTGACGAGAGTTTTCTGTAGAAAGACCTTGGATATGGCCTCCAGAGAATATTAGAATGTTCTAGATGACTTATTTCTTTCTTCCTAAAGATGAACTTGCCCACGTTGCCAAGGTGAGCGAGGCAAGCTACGTGATTGCCTGTGCATCTGCGGTAAGAGCCGTGAAGGAGGCCTACTCCCGTTTGCCGAAATGGAAGCTCAAGGGGCTGTGGGCGCTCGACTCCTCACAGGGTTCTGTCCCGTTCGAACATCTGCTCCAACAAGACCCAATAGCTGCGTTTAGCAAGGTATGTATGTAAACACACACACACACACACACACACATATATATATATATATATATATATATATATATATATATATATATATATATATATATATATGTATATATATATATATACACATGTATATACATATATATATATATATATATATATATATATATATATATATATATATATATGTATATATATATATATATATATACACATGTATATACATATATATATATATATATATATATATATATATATATATATATATATATATAGTATATATATATATGTATATATATACACATGTATATTATATATATATATATATATATATATATATATATATATATATATATATATATTGTGTACACATTAGTGTGTGTGTGCGTGTGTGTGTGTATCTATGTATGTATGTATATATATATGTGTGTATATATATATATATATATATATATATATATATATATATATATATATTGTTTCTCGTTTTTCCTTTTCATCTTTGTGTACACGTTACTGTATGTATGTATGTATGTATGTATGTAATATATATATATATATATATATATATATATATATATATATATATGTATATATATATATATATGTAATATATATATAAATATAATATATATATATATGTATATATATAAATATATATATATATATATATATATATATACATATATACATATATACATATATACATATATACATATATACATATATACATATATACATATATATGTATATATGCAAAATATATATATATATGTGTAGGAGAATTAACACAATTTGTGAAAGGCAATGTATGACTTGTTTGACCCTTATTTAGTTAAAAGTCTATGGTATAATATTTGTCTGCATGGCTAGTAGGGTTGTCCATATTGATATCGCTGAAGGATACAACACAGAAAATTTCCTGAATGTCTTTAGAAGAATCAGGGAATTCCTCAAGATGGCATATTCTGACCAGGCCTCCCACTTGGTTAAGGCAAATAAGGAATTAACTCAAACTGTAGAGAACCTGAATTTTGACATTGTTATGAAATTTGGTTGGAGAGAAGGCATGACTTGGAAATTTACTAAGGGAGCAGATGCTCCTTGGCAAAATGGGTGCACTGAATCACTTATAAGGTTGGTGAAGAGAGTCAAATACGGTTTTACTACATGATGATTTGCACACAGTGATGCTCGAAATAGCTAACATGATTAACCAAATGTCCATTGGTATCAAAACCAGGCTCTGATTTGGGATCCTATTTATGTCCCAGTGACCTATTGCTTGGTCATGCTAGCCCCAGTGTACCAATTTATTTGGGAATAATTATAGTTTTAAAAAGAGCTTTAGATATTTCAATAAAATGGCTTATACTTTTTGGAAGAAATGAACAAGAGATTTCTTTCCTATTCTCTTGGTCAGTACTAAATGACATGTGGAAAAGCCTAATGTCAAGCCTGGAGATATAGTGCTGGTTAAGGCCAAGGATGCAATGAAAGGAAATTGGAAGTTAGCACAGGTGAAATTTGCTTACCCAAGTTTTGATGGTAGAGTAAGGAATGTTAAGATATAATCCTTCTCAACCGGGAAGAAAATTACATTAGGTATTTTTAATAATCACTGATGCATTACCCAATCATTTTCCAGGTGATACATGGGGATTTAATTTTTCGCTCACAGATGGACAAAATAGAAGACACATTTCTATAAAATTTTATATGTTACTAAGCATGAATTCGAATTCTAACCATGTCTACATTCCGCATGTAAAGCTGTATTTTTCTTTTCAAATAATGCTTTATATTTGGTTAAACACAGGACGATGGTTTGGACCCGGCCATGTCGGTGGCGCTACTACTCTTCTCCTCTGGAACAACTGGACTTCCCAAAGGCGTGATGCTTTCTCACCGCACGCTCTTGGTACCGCATATCCGTAGTGTGTAAGTCTACATTATATATTTCTTATACAATATTTTTGGATTGCTATACTCATCACATTTTTTTTCTCACACACTCTTGAGGCAGTTTTCCGTTTCAATCCATGCAAAATAACTATTGATTATTGTACACAAGTAGCTGTTTTCTCTCTGCCCAGAAACCATGTCGGTCGCATCTACTGATTTGCTTTCAATTGGCTTTACGACTGTCGGGATTTCTTGGAACTTAGTCTTAATTTCCGCTGTTCCCTTCGTGAGTACGCAAACACGACCTAACTTGTTTATATATATACATATATGTGTGTTTATATATATACATATACGTCTATATTCATATATGTACATATCTATATGCATATATATATTCATATATATAGACATATTTATGTATGCTTACATATACATATGAATATATATATATATATATATATATATATATATATATATATATATATATATATATATATATATATATATACATAATTATGTACATACACATATACATATATATAAAAATATATATACACATACATATATACATATACGTA